TAAATAAATAAATAATGTAATTAACAACTTATCCTTAATTAAACTAGATAAATCTGAACCATTAGATTTTAATGAGGTTTAATGGCTGGGGTTGGCTTAGTCATGTGACCAAGGAACCCCTAAGTTACCTTATCTTAGCCCATCACATATCTATATGGAAGGAAATTTAGTTTAGCAGTACCCTCGCTTTTTAATTGAAAATCTAAGTCTTAAATCTCGAGAATTTAGGATGGCAATAACCCATGAAGAAATTTTTTTTATTGATATTCATGAGTAATTTTACTCAAATACAAGTAGACTCATTGATTATAGGTAGGATAACGGTGAATTATATATGGGTTTGGGAGGGGGTTGTAGATTGATTTGTGTAGAATATATATATTTCTTTCATAATCTAAATGAGTATGTAGTTAAGACACCCGTTTACCTGAGAGTGTTTTAACTACACATACACAAATTTGACCTATATTGTAAAATTTTAAAATTATAAAAACTTAGGTATCAAAATGAAAGAAATAAAATTTTTAGGTACTAAAATATAGTTTTCCGTAAGTACTTTCAATACGTACATGCAAAACAATTTAATATTGGTACTAAATCTAAAGATATATTAAGTTTAGGTATCAAACTGTAATTTACATATGTGTATGAGTACAAATTCCAATCCATGGATTAAAATTCCAACCCATACATATGGGTATCCAACATAATTTAACTTGACAAAAATCACTTGAACCCGATATTAACAAGCTTTCAGAAAGGAGTGATTTTTATTCGCTTTTGTAAATGGCGGGTCGAGTCGGTTGTGAATTGGTTACAAACTCGGTTCAATCCGATCAAAGAGAGTTGAACATGATGTTGCAAAGTTTTGGGTAGTGAGCGAGTTTTATCCACTCTAGTGTTTGTTAATTTCTCAGGCGGGTGTGAGTTTTATTCGCTTTTTTAATAGTTTGGTCATCAGATCGGTTGTGATTTTTTTACAAACTTGGTTCAACCCGATCAAAGAGAGTTGAACATGATGTTGCCGAGTTTTTGGTCATGAACGAGTTTTAATTTAGTGTTCGTTAATTTCTCTTTTTCATTTTGGTTGAGAATGAAATTGAGAAAAGAAACAAAGCAAAAAAAAAAAAAAAAAAATCAATAGTGTTACGGGAGAAGACTTAACATAGAAATCATTTCCTTGACGACACTTCTCGCTTATTATAGTTTATCGTTGCGTCGACTACTTGGATTTGTAAATGACAAGCCCTTTAGTTTTGGATCAAACTTCAAACTATTAATCTTTAAAATATCATGTTCTTACTCACATGCGAAGTGATAGCGAGCGGGTTTACGCTAGTATATATTAGAATAACGCATGCAAATCTTTGGTAGCGAAAAAGCTTCTTATCCGTCCACCGTATTATCCTCTGTGTAGATGTGGGGGACATGAGTGGTGGTTTGGTTTGGTTTTTGATACTCCTAACCAGCCAAACCAAATTAACCAGATAAATAATTTGCCATATATCTAATATATACACATACTTAATACTTTGAATAACCACTCAAGAGTTGAACGTTCATCCCTTTTAGACTCATAAAATATAAAGCTTGATATTGTTCCTATAATGTATATTTGTATATGTAGAGTGTAGACCACAACATATGAACGCCTAATTTAGATAAATCTCATACATTATGTTGGATGAAAACTTGAAAGCAAAGTCCTTTTTCAGCCTATGAAAATTGCTAAAAGACTAAGTCAATTCAAACAAACACAAAAATTTGTTAACCCATACCATTGTGATAAATTTTTGTTAGGTGAATACTTCTATAGTAACCATAAGATAACTGTCTTAGTTGCATGTATTTATGTTAAGGGTCAACTATAACTATGTGTTGATTGTTATGTTTTCATTATATAAATTGTGAATTGATAAATTAACCTAAGTTTTCTCACTTAAAGATAATGTGATTTTATGTTGGTTAATCTAGTTAATCAATTAACCAAACTGATTAAACTTTAATTTGGTTAATTTGGTTGTTTTATTAGTTTGGACGGTTTGGTTATGATATTGTATTCCATGGTTAATGAAATTTAGTCTTATTTGGTTTGGTAATAACCACTGTTGTCAAAACCGGGCCGGACCGGACGGTCCGACCGCGGAAAACCGGACCCGCCGAGCCATCCGGGTTCGATTGCCTAAAAACGCAAAGGAAATGTGCCGCCCGGGTATTGACCGGTTCAACCGGCTAACCGGCAAACCCGGAAGACCCGAACCGGCTGTTGCAGTCATTTATTCACCTTCCATTTTTTATGGAAAATTTTCTTCCTCTCTTCAAAACCGAAAATTGAATGAAAAGGGAAGGAGAGTAATTATATTCCCTTTTTTTTTACAATATTTCCACTTTTCTGTTGACTCATGCACCTACCGACCATTTTTTATTTTTACTTTCCATTTTTATCTTCTCTATTCTCCTTCTTTCCCCAACTATTCTTCTCGATAATTCCTCCCCTCTTCTTCTTATTTTTAATTCTCTCCATTTAATTTCTCAATTGACCTACATAATTGATCAAAACTCAAAACGGGAAAAAACTCATTGCAGTGCAGCGGAAAATATGCATATTAGTTTTAGAGAGGTCCGTGGTTCGAAGCTTCAACTGGGTCTTCCAATTTTGAGTTGTCAGCCATTTTATTTTCTGCTGGGTCATTTTATTTTGTGTAGTCCAGTCATTTTATTTTGTGTAGTCCACAGTAAAATGCTCAACCATAGGTGATAGGTCCAGCCATTTTGTTTTCCTAAGTCCAAAGTGAAATGCTTCTTTTAAAAACGGTATATTTAATTTTAATGTACTATTAATTTCTTATATTTCTATTCTAAATGAGCATGTGATGGTACAAATTTTAGTTCACATTTTATTTTAAGTGAAAATAGAACGTGTTATATAATATTGAAATGCATTAGTATTTGTTTGTTTATTTTATAATTTATATTAAACCTAATAGGATAGAAATTTGTAGTTAAAATTTTATTTTGAGTTATTTAATAAAATTTAAAAATACCGTTATCATAATATTAACATATATTTGTCTTTTACTATTTTAATTTATTTTAACGAATTTTTGTTGTAATCGAATAAAAAATTCGGCCCCCCCGAACATCAATTCCTAGCTCCGCCCCTGTTAGTTATTATCATCTCAACATTAACGTTGAGTTGTGCCCTTCATGGTCTGGTGGATACAAGTGAGCTGAGTGGGCCAGTGCCTCATGTTCCGCAATGGTTGGCGTTCTACTAATATTTTCACTACGCGTTGATCAGGTGCCTTGTTTTTGAAAAGTACGTTTTGAAAGAAAAAGCAAAGCAGAAATCAAATGCAAAGGTGGGGATCCATATCTATTCATTCCTTATCAAGTGTACGCACTGATTATTGAATTGGCAAAACTTACGAGCAACGTGGGAATGCATTCTGCATATCCATTTTTTTTTTATACAATCCGCAAATTCCAATGCCCATTCCGGGAAGACGTAGGTCTCATTTTGGCACCTTATTTTTTTTTTTTATTATTATTATATAGAATCCCCTTACATTGACATTGTTTCACCAACCCAAGAAGATAGAATTGCGATCGAGGTACGGGTATTAATAAGTGTTATGAAACGAGTAAACCAAGATATATAGGACTAGGAGCATTTGTATACCAAATATATATGCCTTCTGGGAAATTAATTAATTACATTGGGGCCATGAGAGATTAATTAAATTACTTATTAAGGTCATGAGTTTCATGCGCGGACAATGATCAGATTAGAATAATCATATTAGTAGTTTCATGCAGGGCTTGGTCCGACGTCCAATATATTATATGCTGCTAGCTACTCTCGTTCAGAGGAGTCAGTCGTCTTTGACTTCCCACAAAATACTACTGGTTCTAATGAAATTCTGTCAATCAACAATATCGAAATCAATCTTTTTATGTAATCATTTGTTCCTTTTCACTTTCCTTTGTTCACTTTGATCAAATACCATAAGATGAAAGAACTTCGGCCTATTTTATGCTTGCCCTTTACAAGGGTATATCAAAGCTATTAGCTAATACAACACTACGGAAAAAGTGGTATTTGCCAACATGTAAAATATGTTGTAATAAGCGTTAAAAGTGTCATCTATAAGTGGTGTTACCTAAAATAATAGATAATATTTTTTTTATTTTTGAAAAGAAAAAAACGTGTTAATGAAATCCTACTTTTGATTATCATAATGATTTCCTCACTAGGAACCTTATTAAAAAATATCGTGCGGCGCTAAAACATTAGCCTAGCTATCACCAAAATTTCAAACCAAAACCCATCACCTCTCTCTACTGGATCATTTTAGGCCGACAAGGATTTATTAGTTATTCCTGGCCGCTACAGTTTTGACGTGCTACTATAACCGCAACAACTACAAACAACAACAATTACGTCTTTGTGTCCGACAACTATGACTCTGACTTTCACGACTACAATAATTAGAGTTGTGTCCCCCTCTCCCTAATTTTTCATAATAATCAGCGTACCCCCTCTTTTATAAATCATCATTAATTAATTACGGTCAACCCATTAAAATAAATGAAAAAATCATCAAAGAGAAATATTCTATTGACCAGAGTTATTATATTAACACGTTGCTAACAAATTGGGGGTTAACACTCTTTAACTTTTTCCTTGCAGGCATACCTAAACCCATCTCGTTGCTCGTTTTGGTGCTTATCGATCCTTGCGTATCAGGAAGAAACAAGTTGGAATTGTAAAATATTGGGTCAGCAAGAGTGCGCTCCGTTATTAAAATGGAGGCGCAATTTATTTATTTATTTATTTATCTATCGTGTTCCGCTGATGCTTGACCAGGGGTATCATTCCTCGGCTATATAAGCAATGGCAGATTGGGCACAAGAAATAGAGAGAGAGATATAGGTGGGTGGTTCACTAAATAAAATAAAGGATATATATGTCATTTGCATCATCATTTCAAATCAGCATGGTGAGCTGGGAGCAACTCATCATCAACGCCTTCTCATCATGGTTACCGATCCCCTTTTTCTCCAGTAGCATCGTAGTAATAATAATAATAACCCTCCTCTTGAAATTGAAAAGTAGCAGCAGCAGCTCCTCCACCACCGCGAAAAAAAACATTCCGGGCCCACGGAGGTTCCCAATCATTGGGAACCTCCACCAGCTGGTCTCGGCCCTCCCCCACCAGCGTCTGTGCGACCTGGCCCGCGAACACGGGCCAGACGTGATGCACCTCCGGCTCGGGGAGGTGCCACACGTGGTGGTGTCCTCGAGCAGGGCCGCGCGCGAAGTGATGAAGACCCACGACGCCGTTTTCGCTTCCCGGCCGTCGCTTCTGGCCGCGGAGATGATGACGTACGCCGGGAGCGACCTGGTGTTCACCCGGTACGGGGAGAGCTACAAGCGCCTCCGCAAGATCTGCGTGGTGGAGGTCCTCGGGGCGGGTCGGGTCCGGTACTTCCGGCCCGTCCGGGAGGAGGAGGTGGCCGATCTCGTGCGCAAGTTCTCCCGGCGGGCGGCTCGCGGGGAGGCGGTGGACGTCAGCCGGGAGATGTTCTGGCTGTCGAGCCGGATCACGTGCCGGACGGTGCTGGGGAAGGCGAGGGAGCTGGACGACGGGTTTCTGAGGATGGTGGAGAGTGTCTCGGAGGTCATGGCCGGATTCAAGGTGTCGGATCTCTTCCCTTCCCTGAAATTCCTCCCGGCGGTGACCGGGTACAAGGCTCAGCTGACGAGGATGCGTCGGGAGATGGAGTCGATGCTTGATGAGATCATTGATGAACACAAGGAGAGGAGAGCGGAAGGAGGCGGCGGCGGCAATGAGGAGGATCTGGTTGACGTCCTGCTCAATCTTCAAGCAAGCGGTAGCACAGACTTCAGCCTCACCATGGACAACATCAAAGCTGTCACTGTGGTAAGCTCCAACAAACTCATGTTTTACGTACCCAAAAAAGAAAGCATTAAAACTAACTTTTCTCAGAACCAACATTAATTACTTAATTGATTGTTGCGGCCTTTAATCATGCATGTTGAACAAACACTAATTAAAACCAACTTTTTAACTCCCTCTTGGACTTTGGTCAACTTGTTTGAAAGATGTATAAGTAATTTAAACCATTCAAATAATCGACTTCAATTGCATTATTATAATCCCCATGTATCGAGTTCACCATTTGAGATTCTTTCATTTCAAATTACTGTATATCAGTATATGAAGTAAAAATTATTTAAATAATATTTAACAATTTGTGATCCAGGGGGTTGGATGTATAACTCGAAATTGTGCAAACTTTACAATCATATTTCCACCATGTAAATCCATCTAATATACACAGGTATTAGACTGAAAAATGGAACAAAAAAAATCTCCGTCCCAACTACGTACCCGCAAATATTGTATTTTTTTTCATTCAACTTACAAATGGTATCACAATACGCATATTCTAACCGTGCCTCATATCAATTCTTAATTTTTTTCGTTGTCAAATATTATGTTTACAGGAAGTTTTCATTGCCGGAGTTGAAACCTCCGCGACGACCATAGATTGGACGATGGCTGAGATGATGAAAGACGAGAGAGTACTTCGAAAAGCACAAGAGGAAGTACGACAAGTGTACCGTGGGAAAACAAATGTGGATGAGTCAAGCCTCCACGAACTCAAATACTTGGACTTAGTCATCAAAGAAAGTCTAAGATTACACCCCCCACTGCCTTTGCTTTTTCCAAGAGAGAGCCAAGCAAAAGTTGAAGTTTGTGGATACGAGATCCCTGCGAAAACCAAAGTGATAGTCAATTGTTGGGCTATCGGGAGAGATCCTCAGTATTGGATAGAACCCACCAAATTTTATCCAGAGAGGTTCGTGGACTCTACGATAGATTACAAGGGAAACAATTTCGAATTCATTCCATTTGGAGCCGGAAGAAGAATGTGTCCCGGAATGCTTTACGCGACTGCAGTTGTGAAACTCACATTGGCAAACTTGCTATATCATTTTGATTGGAAGCTTGTTGATGGAATGGATGCAGAAAATTTGGACATGACAGAAGCTTTTGGGGTTGCGGTGGGGAGGAAGTGCAGTCTGTGCTTGATCCCTATTGCATATGATGACGTCCCAATATAAGCCGAACATACTGACGCTTGCATTGGTTCGTGGGATGCTAGCTAGGAGTGTAAGATAGGTGAATAAAGATTGCTGAATTGAAGAAAAGTGCGGAAGGAGGCTCAGTTGTTTATGATGCATCTGGAGGTGGGTGAGTGGGTGGGTGGTGTTCTTAATTTCTCCCTTTTGGAACGGATGAGTTGTTGCTAGCAAGGGTTTGCTTTTGGGTTTTTGGTTCCATGTTTGTTTGAATTTGTAATTTTTTTTCGAGAGAATTTTTTTGTTATGGTTATGTTTTGTTGAGCTCGTCCCATGGTTGGATTAACCAGTATCTTAGAAATTATCGTAATTGAGTTGGGTTATTTTGAACTCATTGGGAGTTCAAAAGTTATTTTCAGAAAATCCTCTATTATTATAATAGAGAGGAGTTAGAGAGAGTTCGGTGATAAAGAATTATGAAGAGAGAAGAGAGAAACTAAAATGTTGCAGACTCTTGGTTACAGCAGCAGGGCAGCCTGTTCAATAGAGAGTTACAAGAAAACAAATCGTTGAATCATCCTGAAATTTGGTGACATATTCAAAACTCTTTATACTTCAATCTGACATGTAAGTATTGTTTTTTTTTTATCTCTGGTTTGTCTGGAATTGTTGTTGGACAGAGAGTATACGAATATGTTTCGGTACTTCTTCAACGTTTGTTTGTCTTGTCGTTTGTTCTTGTTAACCATGTATTGGTGATAACTTTTGTGGTGGATTGCTGATCCAAGAAGGTAGTTCTTGAGGTGTTTTGTAATCCTCTAGCTAGTCTAAAGAGTTCTTGTAATTCCACCAAATTATAGTTGAGTTGTGGTTTGGACTACGGTCATGTGGTTAATTTTTCTTATTTGAGTTTTCCACGTAAAAATCGTTGTGTTTCGTTCATTTCATTCTTGTTTGATATTGCTATCTATGCTTCGTTTCTCAACAGCGATATCAGAAGTCAAGGTTGTTTGCGAGCTATTTTGGGTGAATGGCAAGAAACTGTGACTCAAACAGAGAAATTATCAAGTTGACGTCATACAATTACACGATTTGGAAGCCACAAATGGAGGATATACTATTTTGTAAGGATCTATATGAATCTATTGAAAGTGGCAGCCAAAAGCCAAAATATAATTAAGAAAGTCAATGGAAGGTCATGCATACAAAAGCGTTGGCAATCATTCAGCAATGATTCCCCCAAAGCATCTTTCATCATGTTACAAAAGATAAGGGAAAATCAATTGTAGCAGAAATTGTAGTCCGTGTAATAGCGACAATCAACTCAAAACAAAGCCTCACTCGTTCGAAGAATTGTGAACTTGAAGTACAAGGGTGGGAGTAGTGTCATAGAGCATTTGAGTGATTTTCAATGACTTGTGAACCAACTAACTACTATAAAGTTATCACTTGATGATGAGGTACAAACATTGTTACTTCTTATTTCGTTGCCGGGTAGTTGGGAGACTTTGGTCACTTAGCAACTCGATACCTAATGGTCTGCTGATGATGGACATTGTCAATGATAGTATGTTGAATGAAGAAGCGAGGAGAAAAGAATTGGGGATTTTATTGGAATCACATGCTTTGGTGGCAGATCATTATGAAAACCATGGAAGTGGTAGAAACCGAAATTCTAATTTCAAGAACTCTCAGAATTGAAGCAACATTTGAGGTAGATCTAGCGAGAGATCAAAATCGTTCTCAAGACCTACATGATAAATCACATGTTATCATTGCAACCAACACAGACACATGAGGAGAGAGTGCATAATCTTGAAACGGGAACAAGCTAGAGAAAAAGGTTTAGAAAATCGAGAAAAAGATGATACTCTGCTATTGCTACAGATGGTGATGTGGTCATCGTTTGTGATTCCGATTTTGTGAATCTCACATGCCAAAAGATTACATGGGTTATTGACTCGGGTGCCTCATTCCATATGACCCTGCGGGTTGATTTTTTTATTCCTACACAAATGGTATAGATAATTTGTGTGAGGATGGGAAATGATGGTGCATCAAAGATTGTTGGCATGCATGGGTGATATTAATCTAGACCAACACGGTTTGCAAGCTAAGCTTGTCTAGAAGGAGGGGAAACATATTTCAGACATGAGGTTGAATTTGATATCCACCAGAAAGTTTGATGATGATGTTTATACCAACTATTTTGGAGAAAGAAAATGGAAGCTATGAAGAGGTCATCTCGTGGTGGCTAAAGGCAAGAAGGAAAGTACGCTCTACATGACAAACACAAAGCATAGCAAGGAATGACTCATTGTTGCTGAGAAAGGTTCTTCCATTGAGGTTTGGCATAAGAGACTCGTTCAATTGAGCAATAAGAGGCTCAATAATCTCAAAGAAACAATTCTTGTCCGGATCTAAAGGCATTCTCCTTAAAACTTGTGTTGATTGTTTAGCCGGAAAAAACTCATAGAGTTGGGATAATGCTTCTTTCTCTAGAATTGATTGGGCATTCATTTCCTCGGAGTTCGACTCTATTTTCCCAAATTGAACTATTTTTGTCTTAGAAAGAATTGAATCTAATCATAACCCTCTCATGTTGAGGTGGGGAGATTCTCGAAGAATCAACAGACCATGGAAGTTTCAAAATATGTGGCTTAAGGATAACAGATTCTTTGGGTGTATTGAAGACTTGATACAGGCTTTCGTGGAGGGGTTCAGTAAGGTTTTCTTGTGGTCCAAGAAGCTCCAGATGATAAGTTTAAGGTGTGGAAATAAATATATCTTCGCGAATATTAATAAGAAGATTGAGGAGTCTCTGGGGAAAATAAAAGCGTTGGTTATCATTGAGGAATCTTGAAGCCTTGAGGATGGTGAAAGTGCGGACATAGACAGTCAGACAAGTGTAAAATTGAGCTTCGAAGGCTGTTGGAATTTCAAGATATTGAATGGAGGCAAAATTCTAGGGAAACCTGGCTCAAAGAGTGCGACCAGAATACCCGTTCATTCATAATGCAGTTAGTTACAGAAGAAAACTAAACTTTATTGGTAACATCAGAATCGATGGGGTACTTATTGAAGGGAGAGACGAGTTGGTTGTTGCAATTGTGGGCTATTATCAAAATAAAGAGCATTGCTTTGTCCAACCTTTCCCTCACCAGTACTCTTTTTGTAACTTGGATCAGTTCGAGGCTGACTCTCATTATGCCTTTCTCTGAGCTGAAAATATGGGGCGTGTTAAGAAGTAGTGATGGTTGGAAAACGCTTGGCCTGATGGATTCTCTCTTGAGTTCTACAAAAGGTGCTAGCCTATCCTTAAAGATGACATATTGGCTGCCTTTGCTTCATTCTCTGGGCACTCTCCCGAGAAGTGTTACCCACTCATTCATATGTTTAACTCCGAAGAAAGATGTGGTGGAAGAAGTTCGTGATCTAAGACCCATAGTCATAAGTCTATTGAGTAGTTTTAAGAAGATTTTGAGTAAAGTGCTCATGGGCAGGCTGCGGGTGGTACTGCCGAAGTTGGTGTCTGTGAATCAGCATGCCTTTGTTCGTGGTAGGAAGATTGTAGAGGTTGGTCTAATTACCAATGAACTGATCGACAGTAGGTAGAAAAGCAAGCCAGGTTTGATGTTCAAACTTGACATCGAGAAGGTGTTTGATAATGTTAATTGGAGTTGTCTGTTTAACTTCTTGAAGAGTTTTGGATTCCCTCCTAAGAGGATGCAATGGATCTGTAGTGCTATGTGCTCTCTTTATATCTCGCTCTTACTGAATGGGGAGTAAGGATTCTTTCCAAGTCAAAAAGGGTTGTGCCAAGGTGATCCTCTATTGCCAGGTTTGTTCGTACTTGTGATGGATATTCCGTCTTTCATGTTAAATCAGTTAAAGGAGGTTGGGAGGCTTACTGGGGTTTTTTATGGACAAGAGAAACTTATAAGGGGAAGTCACTCACCTTTTGTTCGCCAACGATTCCCTCATCTTTTGTGATTCTTCTCCTGATAAAGTTCTAAATCTGTTGGCTACTTTGGTATGTTTTCAATCGGTTACAGGTTTAAAGTTAATCTTGAGAAGTTAGTGATGTACCCCATTGGCGATGTTGTTGATCCTAAGTTTTTTGGCGATATCATGGGATGCAAATGGAGTAGGGATCCTTCTCAGTATCTTGGTATGCCTCTAGGGGCTTGACTTAATGCAGTTTTGATATGGGACTCGATTGTTTCCAGGATTCATAATAGGTTGGAAGGGTGGAAGAGCAGATTCTTATCTCTTGGTGCTAGGATTGTCATTAACAGTACTAGCCTTTCTTGCCTTCATGTGTACTATTGCTCTATCTTACACGCGCCTAGTTCTGTGGTCAATTGGGTCGAAAAGATTCAGCGGAGGTTTATATAGAGTGGGACAAATTAGTTGAGCAAACTTCATCTGGTTAACTGGGATCTATGTAAAACTCCCAAAGAGAGAGGGGGTCTTGGTATTGTCGACCTCCAAGCTTTCCAATAAGCCCTTCTGGTAAGTGGATTTGGAAATTTTCCAATGGTAGGGAAAGCTGGTGGAGAAAACTTATTTCACTAAGTACCATAATAGTCTCTCCAGCTAGTATACTGGTAAGCAAAGGCAAGGGTTCTCTTCTTTGGTGTGGGCTAATATTACCAAAGAACATGATGAGGTCTGGAAGCTGTTGTACATTGATCCGGGTGGAGGTGATTGGGACTCATTCTGGAACAACTATTGGATCCTTGGCATGACTCTTGTCGTATCGTTCCCTCGCGTTTCCGCTGCAGCTGCCAACCCCGAAGCAAGGATTTCTCATGCTGCAATTATCTCAGGTAATGGGGTGGGATGGAATTTAAATATGTCAGTTACTTTGATAGGGGGCTGAGAGGGAGGGAAATGCATTGCTCGAAACGCTCAGTTCATTAGGTTTCTCTCGTATCACTTCTGGTCCTAGTCGTCTTGTTTGGTCCCTGAATCCTACTTCCTCTTTCTCTGTTAGATCTTTGTACAGGTGCTTGGCCGAGGCTCGATTCTTGGGGATG